ACAGTTTTCCAATCTTTGTAATTATGAGAGATTTGTGGATGTAGTTACTTGACCTTTATGTAGAGGTACAGTGGTAGTGATTTGTTCTAGGTGGAAAGAAAGGCACAAAATATGGTGTGAAGTTGAACTAATAAAAACTTTTATTTTAAGAGAGACAGAGCTCCTGATGGTTCAATTATAAGTTTGAGGGCTTATAATGCTAATTTAAGGGTTTGATACAACAGTGGGTACAGCGCAGATAGCTTATTATGTATATTTGTACTTAAAAACAAAACCATCAAACAGAAGATGAGTAAATTGCTGATCAGGCTATTGGAGGGCTGTTGTCTAGTGATTAAAGTTAAAAGCTGAATGGACTGTATTGAAAGAAAAACTAAGTAAAAGAAGTCATATTTACTGAAAGGAAAGTGAAAAACTATATTTTGGAATAAACTGAAAACTCTCTGGCTAATGGAACGACTAAAAGAAACATATACAAAATCTGCAGGTTATAGAAGACATAGAAGATGAAAAAATTTCACAGCAAGTGCTGACTCTTCCAAGAAAGAAGTTTGTCTGAAAAGAACTCAAATTACTCTCACATTCCACATTATCTCTGTAACTGACCAAACATAAAATTTGATAGTAGGTAGGCAAACAATGATTTATAAGCATAAGGAAAAGCATTGGTCTGTCTTCTTCACATATATCGGTACTAAGCAGTCCTAGGTTTATATATATTGTTACAAAAACAATAGGGATTAAATGTGACAGAAATGGTGTCAGGAGGTGACAGGATATAGGTAGAGGTCAAGTCTGGTCAAGTGCATAAACAGTGAATAGACCTTGCCAAATATGGCTGATGTTGCTGGGGCCATTATCACGGTTTAGTGAGAGGTCATTTATTTTGATGATTTCTATACTTTCTAAACAATCTCTTTCATCTTTAGTTTTGGGTTGATGTAGGAGAAGAATTTCATCCCAAAGTATTTTGTGACCGTTTTCATATTGATGATATGTTAAGGCAGATAACTGAAAATAACCTCTATTTGTCCTATTTCTTTCTTTCCACATTCACATGGGATACTGTATATGCCCTGTTTTTGTTCTTTTAATAGGGATTCTTTAGGGTTAGGTAGAAAGGTGTTAATTTTATGTGAAGCTTTGAATACAATTTTTACATCAGTGCTCAAATTATTAAAAAGTCTAGTAATTTTGTTAGCAATTTTTGGCACAAAAGAGAATGAAACAGAACACAACAAATGGCTCTGAGTTTTTTGTTCAAGTACAAACTTTTAGCTCATAGCTCTGCCATCTCTTTGAGATCTAATTATAATTTTGGGCTCAAGAGGTCAAACCCTTTTGATTGATGTATTTGACCACGCTCAATTAATTTACTCTAATCCTGCCTAAAAGAATTTCAATTTGAGTGTAGGCTGCTAGAGATCATGATGAGTAATAAAACTGAATTGGGTATATGTGCATGATAATAAAAAGGTCTCATAGATCACTTTACTCTAATCCTGGCTAAAAGAATTTCAAGTGCTGTGGCCATTGAGGATTCCTTCTTGTTTTTTCATTTCATAGACATCCTTTCTTCAATATTATAAATGTCAAATGGGTGTAGTGGGAGTAATTTAATTTTATGTAGTTTAAATGAACAAATTATGTGTAGTGTTTTTTTTGTTATTTTTTTCTTAATTTGCGTTTAGAACTCTTTTTTTTTTTTTCCTAACAGCATTTCCAACAGGGGGATTCACACATAGTTTAGGCTGTGAAGCAGCTCTTCAGTGTGGTTACATCACAAACAAAGGTAATCATTACTTTTTTAATACTCCATTTTCCATCTCGTGGAAAGTGAATAAATGTACCGTATCAAGAACTTAAGTAACCATTAATTATTTTGTTACATTTGGTTTTAAAGAGTAAATCTTTAATATGCTAGAATGATCATAACAGTGTCAAATTTGAATGTTTGTAGATTTTAAAATGTATTTGTATAATTTGTCAAGGTTTGTCTCTGAATTTTCAGTTTTTCAGTGTGTCTTCCCCCATTTTTTAAATGAGAAAATGCTCTCTCTTTTGAGGTTGTAACACTATTTATTATTTGCTCTGGTGTGATTGGCAAACTGATAAATTGACATGTTATTTTTACTGCCATCAAGTAATTATGAATTTTATGAAGTGAATGTGTGATTAAATGTAAGCAACCGCCTTATCCTAACCCTAAGCATATAATATCTGTGTGATGTCAATATGTGATGTTCATGTGTTATAATGTTCAGGAAACATGGTTTAAATCAGGAGTGTAAAATACACAGTACCATTTATATTTGCTAAAGGAATGTAAAAACTAAACCACTTTTTTGGAACAAAGACTAGGAAACTAGTTTCGACACTTTAGTCCTATCAAAGAATACAGATGGGTATTTGGTCCTATACAGTCTTCTGAGAAGAAATTCTCTGCACAGCTTAGGTGATTATGAAATTCCCTTGAGGACACACATGGTTAGGAAACAGTTCAGCTTAAAGTAACCTTTACAGGTGTTAAAGTTCAGTACACTTTTAATAATACAGCTTTCAACAATTCATCTTATGTAATTTTTAGTTTCTTATATAATTTCTTTTGCTTTATAATTCACAGGTTAATCAAAGCCTCGTGGGAGAAATATTGCATTATTTGTATTTCTACTTTGAATATCCATTTTGTTTTCTGTTAAACTAGTGTTTAAATTTCTTTCTATTTCCCCAACTTCATTTTTTCACATTGATTGTTCACATGTGAACATGTTTTGTAGTCATTATGAGAAAAACCTATACACTGGACAGGTGAAGTGAAAAAAAAAAGTCATTGGCTACTATTCAGTTCTTTGCATTATATAGCTGCACAATAGCAGATATCATAAACAAACTTAGTATTCCGAAAATGTGTGTTAGTTGGTTATACTAGTTTCGGAGAATTCCAATCCTCATCAGTAACCCTGAACACAAGTTAACCAAAGAGAGACAAGCTGGACCTATACTATAGTGAAAAAGTATCAAACATGTATATATATGTATTTTTTTTCACTTTAAGTAAGGATTGCATGATTTAAGTTTTCCCACATAATCATTTCATTATTTTTTATTTTTTTTCGCATAATCACTACAGAAACATATGTAAAATTTAAGGACAACAAGGAACCTGTTGGTCCATCCAGGCTATTCAATCCACTAAATGAAATTTTTAAGAAAAAACAACTCAAAGCTAGCCCTTATCATTCAAATATTTATTAAATCTTCCCTTAAAATCCTTTAAATTAATTGCATCTACCACATCTAAAGACAACCCATTTCAAAGGCAAACCACTCTGTTAGAAAAATAAAACTGTTTTAGTTGAAGATGGCTCCTACCCTCCAAAAATATATATTAATCAGCAATTTTATAGTGTATAACTTAAAATTATTGCCCACATAGCTTTAATCAGGCCCTGCATTTGACTTGATTTGACCTAAGATGGTGCTTTGCAAGGATGTCATTGCATGTAGATATTTTGAAACTAAGTTTATTAGACAGTATTTGTTTTGAACGTGAAGTTTTGTAAAAGGCTAACAAAATGTGGACAAATTGAATATTTAAAGATAAGGTGCAGACTATATTTTACTGTCTATACTGTATTATGAAACTTACATTTATAAGTAATAAAAAATATATTTTAATTTTTGACAATGGATTAAGTTTTGAGTTGCATTTGTAATCTGTATGATTTATTATAAAGTAAGATAATAATAAAATAGAAGTTGTTCAAATTTTGAAATTCTTCTTCTTCTACTATAAGAAGTGAATTTTTAGATATTTTTATACTATTGTACTAGACTTTTTATTGCTTTTTAAACTGTTTCTTCTTTTCAATTTTCACCAGACATTAATACATTTTATTTATTTCAAATGTACAAACACTTTGTTTAGATAACTTCAGAGTTTTCGTCATCAGTTGTCTGGAAAATGCAGGTAATATTTGTAATATAGTTATGTGTATTGATGGTTATAATATAATAAAGAGAAATTGATAAAATCTTTGAAAAAAAATGTGATATTTAGCAAATTTATTGTTGAGGGTGAACTAACTTGATCATTTAAGCCAAAATGTTCTCAACCTTTACGACATAAGCTTTATATGTTTGCTTCATATTTTAGAAAAGCAGTTTTATGTTCAATAGTCTTTTTATTAATTTATTTGTATCAAGGTAAAACTGTAGTCAAAATAGAAAATAATAATACTATTAAAAATAAAAGATCATTGCCACAAAATTTGTGGAATGTTTGATTTTTTGTTTTTTACAATAAATAGATCTCTGGTGTTTTATTCATATTTTTATCTCAAACTTTTGGTATTGTTAATTACTTTTTCAGGATCCTTCTCTCTACCATTTGTTCACGAAGCTCATACATTATATCTAGATCACAATGCACTTCTTCATTTAGATCGGTTGTACAACGTTTCATTAGTCAATCATGTAGCCAGACGAGCTAGTCTACAGCAGGTACTTGAAGTCTTTTCCTTAAACTGTAGTTACATTTAAAACTATATAGATTACTAACACAGATTTACATATATATATACTTTTTCACATCTTATTTATCAACTAACTTCTTATCTATTATTTGCTCACTTACCCAAGCATGCTAAAAAACTATAATCCTCATTTTTACTATTATTTTGTTGTAGCTGTTTTAACACTTTTATAGAAATGATAAGATAGTACCTTAAAGATATTAAATTAAATGTATTGTGAATAGAATGTTATAAACATGAGTTTCCAGTGTTGAGAAAGTTGTTATGCTTAAACATATACAGTGATGCTGAAAAAATATATATATTTATCATTTATGTCCAGGGAAGGTCACTGCTGACCACATGTTGTAGAACATTCCTCATCACTCACTTGGAAACATTACAGAAATATATTGATGATGGATCTATACAAGGTCACCAGGTAAGATTTTCATCCACAATTGACAAAGACATCAGATAAGTTGTTGAAAGAAAATTTTTGTATCAAATTGGTACAATACTAAACCACTAATGAATTTTGTTGCAGGATATCGAAAGCAAGCACAAATACATAAATGCAGTACTAACAGAGCAACAGACTAAATTAAGTTAAACCTAATGGAATTGTGGTTAATTCACTTGAATTTTATACCCAAGAGCTAAATATGCTTTGACTTTATGTAAGGTATCAGTTTTTTTTTGGCTTTTATTGAGGATGTATATGGGATAGGGTATCAGAACCTTTGTTTTGTTTTTGAAAAGTTTGATTTTAACCACATACGAGTTTAAAATTTTGTACCATTATGAAGAAATGGTAATATCCTTCAAAATTTACCAGTTTTTATAAATAACGAAATATTTGCTTTTTTCATTTTTATTTTGTGGGTAAAAATAAATTTAGTACTCAGAGTTATCTAAAACTGTGGCAGTGAAAAAGTTGATGATTTGTTTCACAACATCTTTAGAAATAATTGACTCTTTGTTTCATTATAGGCCGTGATTTTTGGGGCTGTTTGTGGGGTGCTTAAAATCCCTATTTCTGAAGTGCTTTACATGTTCATGTTTGGTGTGTTGCGCACTCTAGTGGCCAGCATTGTACGCCTTGGAAAAATTGTTGGTTCCTTAGAGGTAATACTTATTCTTTTTTCATGTGTCTAAAAACTAAATAAGGTATGATTTCAAGTTGAATGGGGTTCAATGTTTGATCATCTTAAACTTTAGTTTTTGGTGTATACTTTGATTCAAAAATCTAAAATACAAAATCTAATCTATTAAATAATAGAAGGAAAAAGAGAAAATATTCTAGGATTAACTTATGTTGTTTGCTTTAAGATTAAGGAACAGATAATCAGTTTATAAATATATAATCAACCAATTTTATTGATTATTTAAAAAAAATCTAAATCTAACGATTCATTTTGATTAATAATTTGTTAACAAGTTTGTATTTACTGTGTTGAAAAAGGGCACACTTTGAAAAATTGAAATTGGTTCAATGTTGAGGAAATAGAGATGAAACCTTCACTATCTATTATCACTATATGAAAGTTTCATTTTTCTGTGTTAAGTTACTTAATGGTATTCCCAGGCACACTGACTTACCTTTTGATAATATCTGCAAATAACTAGTCAGTAGTAAATCTGGATTCTGACTGACAGAGTTTGGTGTAAAAAAGAAACTGGATGAAATTGAAATAAAATGAAAATCAATCTTTCTTCACAAAAGTTAAATGACAGTGCTTTTACAAGAGGTAAAATAACTTGTGAAGCTTCTGATAAACTCAGAGAAGAAGATAGATGTCTATAAGACCAGCTTTTTCAGATTAACAGAGAGAGAATAGCATTATATACAAGATTCTATTATGCCATCCCTCTCACTACACGTGCATTACCCATGTTACTAACGTTATAAAATTAGAGAAAGTTTTGTCTCAAGGTATTACCTGATCCACCAATTAAAAATACAACTGTACTACTTTACATAGTGTATTCTACTTTATATTCTACTTTTCTATGGAAAAGAGCAAGTGACAGTGTAGGGGATTGACCCAGAACAACAGGTAGCTAGAGCAAAAAGAACCTAGCCACATTTCGTGATCATTGTTCTGTTATCAAAACTACACAAACGTGTATGTGTGAAAAATTTTTTAAATTCTTGGTAAACTTGGAACATTCACCTAATTAACTAAAGAAGGTAAAAAATAATTAACATGCATCTGCATACCACAGTTCTGTTATGTTACTGTATTATATCAATTACGCACATTTTGAACAGCATTAAAGGCATGATTTATAAAAAATCATGGAGGTGCATGATTATTGCTTCATGCTCTATGTTGAAAGCAACATTAAGTATTGTTTGGAATTGATGGTATGTTAAAGGCAACATTAAGTATTGTTCAAAAACAATGACCTTTTGAAAGAAACATTAGATATTATTCAAAAAGGATGGTCTGTTGAAGTGGTATCTCATTGGTTTAAATCTATGGTACATTGAAATAGGTATTGCTTACTGGTTAGAAATTATTGGTGGTGAGAGTTCTTCTGCTTTGTTTAACATTAGTTTTATAACATACTTCAATTTAGGGTCAAAACTATAGTATGATGAGAGAAGTTGTAATGAATCAGTTCTTTAGTTTTTGATTAGTACTTTTCTGTATTGATTTAAAACTATAAGGCATGAAGAAAGCCTCTGTTGATGGTTGTCTTCTACAGAAAAAGAAAGCTATATTGTATTTAAGACTCTTAGAGCTACACCTCGAAGAAACTAAAGACCAATAAGAGAAAAAGAGATATTATTTTAGATGAAAGCTCAACCATTCTTTTGGTTTTAAGGTAAAAGTTATATTTTTAACATGTTTAAAAAATAAAGTTCATGAGAGTTAGGTTTCAGGGAAGGAACTAAGAATATATATATATATTTTTTTTATAAATACTTCTTTTTTAACTAATCACTGAATATATTTCTGTATCACTAATTTGTGTTAATTTTGGAATGTTTGCATTAGGGTCAAAGATTTCAATATGAAATGCAGAGAATTATCCCTGATATTGTTGCAAGGTATGTTTACTGATGTTTTTAACCAAGTAGAACCATTCAGTGTAGGCTTATTATCAGCATAACTTTAAAAATATGCATATATAACTAGCGAACTGCAATGAAAAAACAAACATAGGAAATTTATATTCTGTTACTGAATCTTGGGGTTTCTTATATTTTGAGAACTAGACAGAGAATAATACTAGTTAAATTCTGGGCAATTTTACAGACAGTGTACAGTACAAAAGCACTCTATTTCAACAGATACAATTTTTGTGTCAAAAAATGCATTTTTTTCTCTTGTGAAGCTTTAAAAAGGTATTTCTGGGGCATAGATTATTCCTATGCTTATAGATTTTTAATGACACTGAAAATTTCCAAAAAGGATTATAAATACTTTTTAAACTGTGTGAAGTATATACTGTACTTATTTATTAAATGTGTTTAAGTTGAGTGGCATACAGGTAACAGTACAAAGCTACACTGCTACCTTGCATAAAAAATTATATTTATGGCAGAAATTGTTTTCCCTACCTGAAACAATTTTGACTGTATCAAAAGTGTCTGTTAGTGCTCACTGGATCTTTCAACTAAATACTCCTGAGTTTGATTAATAAATCTTGAACTTAAGAAGTGCAACTTTTTGTTTGAATTATTATTTAATACATGAATATATATATAAGAAGAAATGTATAGCATTAATATTTAGGAGTAAAGTTAAAAATTATAGTTAGGAAAAAGAATACCAGCTGATTTCTGTTCAATGTCTTTGTGACCTTTAATTCTGACCTCTGGTTAATCATTAGTCTGGATGACAAATTTATACTGTTGCATAGTGCTCTCGTTACAGAATGATTAAAAGTTACATCCAGTGAATACCAGTATTACATCATCTAGTTTCTTTAAAATTAATGTTCAGGGATAAATTGGCAACTTTAAGACCAAGTTGAATTAGTTTAATAGAAAAATGAAGTATGTAAGATGAGCTGTAGCTGTACTTAACAGTATATATATATATATATATATATATATATAT